TGAAGGCGCGCTGCGTCCGCATGCGCAGCACCGTCTGGTAGATGTTCAGCGTGCCCACGTCCTGCAGCTGGGACAGGCAGATGTCCAGCGCGCAGAAGGTACCTAGGGACAACGACAGGGACGGCATCAGCCACCAAAGAGCCATTATCGCCCCTTGCAAGAACCGGAGCGGGGCGGCGGTGGTCCTCAGCCCCCCACCAACCTCCCGCACAAGACCACAGGCATCAGGAGAAGCGGGGCAAAGACTTCTCCCAAGTCTGATGGCTGCAGGAATTCCTGGGGATACGCATCCTGGGTCAATCAGTTTGTGAACACCCTGGGGGTCCCCGGGATGGAAACTTCCCAGGGAGGCTGGACTTGCTCCCCCCCCACCAAGATCTCCACCCCAGCAGCGGCGTAACCCAGTCACCTGTCCTGCCGATGCCAGCACTGCAGTGCACCACGATCGGGGGTCCCCCGGGGTGACCCTTGAAGCGAGGTCCCAGGGCGCTGACCGCCACCCTCTGCTGCTGCTTCACGGCCCCCAAAAAGTCAATGAGGGTGGCCGCAGAGGAGGGAACACCATAGTCTGGCCAGCTCAGGTACTGGAAATGGGACACCAGCCGCCGCTCCCTGGTCTGGGGGAAAACAGGGGGGTTAGACCCTCTCCCTTCCTCTGCCTGTGGCCATAGAGACCTTGCAGCACCCCCATGCTGTCCCCTGCCCTGACTGTGGCCACGCACCTCTGAGCTGTGGATCTCCAGGATGGTTTTCTTGTAATGGTTGAGGTTCTCCACGCCCAGGTTGGTGATGGTCAGGGCCCCGAAGCACACCTGGAAATCCTTCTCCAGGGGCCAGTACTGGCCACATTTTCTCCTGCCTCCCTCCTCCAGCCTGGGAGCAGGAGAAGGACAAGCTGGTGATGTCCTCCTCACCCTGCTAGGGACATGTCCCATGCCACCCGGCCGTGGTCCCTTGGGGATCCCACAAGGACCAAACAGTCCATCCCTGATGTGATGTCCCCACCCTGTGGGGCTCTGTCTGGCACCACGGCTGCAGGGTCACTGCAGAGAGCACAGTGCTGCTGACCCAACAGCAAAAACGCTCATTTTGCAAAGAGAAACAGGGCTGTGCCCCACCCCAGGAGCACTCACCGTGTTGTCATCACTATCACCAGGACGTTTTGCTCCCACACCATGCGCCAGAAGTCACCGTAGGTGTTTTCCAGGGGCCCTGTGGGGACAGCCTGTATGTCAGCACAAAACCTGATGGATTTGGGAAAGCCCCTCCATACAGCAGCCTCCGCCAGCTCCCCTCACCCTCCCTGGGGAAACAGCCCCTTCCCGTGGGGACCAACCCCGGTGCAGATCCACCAGCCCTCCCTGAAGCTGACACCCATTGCTCCCCCCCCCCAACCAAATCCCTATGGCTCAGCACCGACCCCCCTGCCCCGATCCCTGCTGCTTCATCCCCCGGCAGGTGGGGCAAAGCTGGGGCTGGGTAAGGGGCAGGAGGAGTGGGCTGCCATCACCAGGGGTCTGCTCAGCCCAGGACCCGTTTTGCGGGAGGTGGCTGAAGGAGGATGGACCCGGTTGCTGTCTCCCAGGAGAAACTCCATTTCTCCCTGGCTGGGGACTGGGAGGGGAGTAAGTACACCCAGAGGGGAGGGGGACTTGCTGGGCAGTGCCCTGCTCCCGGGATGTCCCAAACCGTGGCCGGCGGCTGATGCTGGGCAAGGAGGTGAAGCCCACACGTGCATCAAGAGCAAAATAACCCCTTGGCGGCTCAGGCCATACCCTGAGTCCCGATGTAAGCGTTCCTCTGCTTGTAGCCGTCCATGAAGCTTGCGTTGATGTAGTCTGTCAGCTGCAGGGAGAAAAGCAGGCACAGCGTGAGCCCTCCAGAGCCCCACGGCCGGGATGGCTGCATTGGCTTCACGTGGGACCCCGAGTTTCCATCCCGGGCTGGCTCACCTCCGGGCGGCTGTACGGCTTCGCCAGCTTGACACGGGTTTGGTCCAGGCAGGGCACGTCCCCGTACCGGTTCTTCTCCTGGTTGTAGGGTGCCCTGAGAGGCAGGGGAGAGGGAAGCACGGATGTTTTCCAGGCAGAGGACGACGAGACAGCATCCCTCCCTCTCCGCAAGCCTCCAGCGCTCATAGCCTGGGCTCTGCTGCCATCACCTGGCCAAAGCCTCGGGAAGCAGAGTCCCGGCCAGGTCCTGGTCCCTGCTGTCCCCTGAGCAGCTCCCTCCTACCCCCGGGGGGGCTGCGGGACCCACAAAGAGGGCTCGCAGCATCACTAGGCTGGGCGTCTCCATTGCTAACCCGAAGCACTGCACCCCAAAGAGGCAGCTGAGCCACCACCAAGCAGCAGAAGTGGTGAAGTGGGGGGGACCCAGCTCTTCTGGGGTGAGAGGGGGCCCGCATGCTGGCCCGCACACAGCTCCTTGCCCACCCAACTCACAGAGAGCAGACAAAGGTGCCAGCCGGGCTCCTGCGCCGAATATCTTCGTACTCTTCGTAGATGCCCCTTTTCTGCTTGTGGCTAACGTGATCCAGCAGCTCCTGGAGGGTGATGGATTTGGGCCCGGGGACGTGGACGGAGCCGTTATCTTTGGGGGCCACCAGCGGCACCAGGATGAGCTCATCCAGGGGGTCGGGGTGCCCGTTCTGCTGGGGCAGGAACCGGCAGTTCCAGCTCAGAGGGTCCAGTTTGAGGGACCCCCCGAGGTACTCGGGAAGGCATTCGCAGGGTAGGTGCTCCTTCAGCTCCGACATCTTCACCATCTGCACCTGCAGGAGGAAGAGGAGGGGCAGGCGTGACTCCAAGAAGGATGGAGAGGGTTCACTGGGGATGCTGACAGTCTGGCACGGTCCTGATGAGCCCGGAGATTTCCCCCAACAGCATCGGGATCTTCCTCCTTCCTCCCCTGCCCCGCGAGGGCACTCAGGTGAATGCCAGCGGTGGGGCAGGGGCTGACGCCCCCACGTACCCAGGGTAGTCCACACCAATACCCAAATTTGCAAGCGGCTCCAAGCTCCTACCCAAAAGCAGAGGGACAAAGTCCAGTCCAGGGAAGACGTCAGTCTGAAAGGGGCTGCACCAGCAGCACCGCTGATGCCGAGGGGCTGTTCTAGGTATTTTTGGCTTTGCCAGCTAGGGCCTGAGCACAGGTTCTCTTTTCTCCCGCGTGCTCAGCAGATGTTTCCTTTCCCTTTAACCATTTACCATTGCCTCCACTTGCTGCTGCTGGCAGCCTCACCGCAGAGGAAGAAATCAAAGGCCATTTCAAAAGGGGTTCAAGATATTTGCTGAAAACACCGAAACAGGTTGACCTTTTCCCATGGATTTGGGCTCAGCAGCTTCCAGCGGATGGAGCTGAGGGCCACAAGCTGCTCACACCAGCCTGTCCCAAAGAGAAAACAGCCTCAGCCCTCCCCACCGAGGGTCCTGTGCCCAGGGGAGGACCACGCTTACCCGCTCCCGCAGCTTCTCCTTCAGCAGCAGGCTGATGATGGAGTAGGGCACGCGAAACCACATGGGTGCTCCCACGATGAAAACCTTCTTGAGCCGAGCCGGGAAGGCACCCTGCGGGCAGGAGGGGGTCAGATCCACGCTGCCAGGGAGGAGCCAGCCCCTCTCTGCACTCTGCTGGGGTGGGGGGACATGTCCTAGCAGAGATGACAACCAGCAAAGAGACCCCGAGGTGGCAATGCCGCATCCAAAGCGTGCGTCACCCACAGCCGGCAGCCCACGGCCGTGCTTATTTTCATGCTCCCTCCTAATTCCTTGGAATTAGGTAGGCAGAGGGTTTAGGTCTGCGGGGGAGAAGTGAAGCCTAGGAGCCAGGACTTGTGTAGAGAACACACCCCGGCCGATATTCCCTGTTATTTCTTTTTTCCGGAGAAGGGAGGAGGCATGAAATGCCAGCACGATTAAAAAATAATTTGCATCTGTTTTCCCAAAAGCGCTGCCAGCAGCTGCGAGAGGAATCCAGCACGGGGACAGCTGATCCCCTCCTACCCACGGGACACCACGGCCCCGGCTGGGTCCAGCCTGGCAGGCTCCCAACGCCTTCCCGAGGTCCTACGGGACTGGAGACGGTGCTCCTCAGCCGAGACGTTGTCAGCATGGTCTGGCGTGAAAATTTATGCCGAAACCACAGGTACGAGCAAGTGGCCCACGCATCGTCCCTGGACACTGGGTCACCCCTGGCCGTTACCTTCAGCAGGTTGAGGATCTTCTTGCTGAGGTCCAGCTCGAAGTTGGTGTACTGCGAGCCCGCCATGTCATAGATGAATACCAGCCCGTTCCTCTGGGTTTCGAAGCTGAGAGAGGGAGAAAGAGCAATGACAACCCCACGACATCCAACTGCTCGGCTCCTGCACGAGCAGATCTGCCCCATGCCAACCTGACCTTCAGCTTGCTGACGCCAAAATAATCCCCTTCTGCGCTCAGGACTCACGGACCCAAAGCTCGCTTTTGCATTTCCCAGCTGCTCCACCACCTCTTCCTACAACCCTTATTTAAGCCTGGCTCATGTCTTAAGCCTGTCTCAGCTGCATTGCCCGTGATGGGCAGGTTCAAAACTAGAAAGAGCCCAGCACGATAAATGGGACGTCCTGGCTTTATATTTTTGGCAGGGTTCACGTTACGTCCCACCGGCGGCAGGGCTGCCTCCTCCCCAGCTGAAGCTTGCAGGAACCAGGGGCTTTGCTAAACTGGAACCTGGACATGGGCAGGGAAAGGCTGCGAAGAGCCAGCTTCAGGGCTCGGCAGGTTTTGTTCCCCTGCCGAACACCTCCATCGGGATGACTGGCTTGAGTTCAGACCAGGGGAAGACAGGGAATTTCAAGCCACAGGGAGCTGTGACCCCCTTCTCTCCCCTAACTAGAGATGGGGCACCCAGAGGCATGCAGACAGACTCAGCCACAATCTCACTATCAGGAATTCACGTTCACGTCTTTTCCCTGCGAAGCCTTTTGTTGGGATTTCATCAAAACCTCAGCAAGCAAGCAGCATCTCCCCTTGCCCCTGGGAGGGAAGGGGCTCCCCGGGGACCTGCCGCTGTACGACACGGTACCTCGGCGGAGGCAGGCTCACCTCTCCACCGCTCGGTCCAGCAGGTAGAAGAGCGCCTGGAGCACCACGTGCTGCATGCTCTTGCTGGGGTGGTGCAGCTTGGCCGTGAAGAGGGCGATGGAGGCTCCTGAGGGGTCCCGCACGCTCTGGCGAGGAAACAGGGTCAGGCTTCCACGGCACCAGAGGACACCCACGCGGAGCAGAGCTGGGACGAGCCCCCCAGCTGGGGTAACTTGGGGGGACACACAGCCCCACCTACCAGAATGGTGAATTTGCCACTGAGCAGCTCTGAGCGCAGCGGCTCCTCGTGCGGCTTCAGCTTCACGATGCCCTCCTTCAGCCGTGTCTCCTGCAGGCAGGGAGCCGGTGTGACAGGCAGCACGGGCACCCCAACCCTCCACCCACCATCATGTCCCCATGGAAGCACCCAGCCCTCCGAGGGAAGCCCCAGCAGGGAAACCTCTGCTCCATGGCCCCATTTTCCAGCAGAGGATTGCAACCGGCTGCAGCGCCACAACCCCCGGCACAGGGAGGAGCAGCTTTGCAAAGCCAAGGCGGCAAAGGTGTATATGCACATGTATCCTTAATATAGGGGGAGATGCTCGGCGGGCATCGCACACCAGCCGGGAGGGCACGCTGCGAACACCCACGCTGCTCTCAGCAAGGGGAGGGGGCTGGGGTCAGCGAGGTCTTCATGGTGACTTGCCTTGGCTGAAAAAGGATTTTCCAGCCGGATAAAACTCAGAAGGGAATGAGAAAAAGGAAAAAAAAGCAAGGGGAGGGTCATCCTTGGCACCAGAGACCCCTTGCAGAGCAGGAAGCACTCGACCAGGGGGGACCAGGCCCCGCTCTCTTACCCGGTAGGAGTGGAAGAGCTCGATGGCCCGCAGGACATCAAACTTGCGGGCCATGAGGAACTTGACGGCCACATTCCAGGACAGTGGGGACACATTGTACTGGCCCGTCCACTTGTTGATCTCCTCCAGAAACTGCTTGGTTGCCTGCAGGAGAGATGAGGGGCACGCAGTGAGATGGGGTGGGAGGAGGAGAAGTGCCCGAGGAGCATCCCTGGTCACAGTGGGAGCTACATGGTCCTTGGTGCATGGGCAGGGGCTGAGCATGGCTCAGCAAACCCAGCAGCTCATCAGGGTAAAGCAGGGAGCTCTACGGCAGGCGCTGGGCCGTGTGAACACAGGTAACGAGCGAGACAGGCATTGAGGGCTGACACTTCAACCTGCTACAGGACATGGACCAGCTCACCCAGTAAGGCCAGCTTCACATGGCCACAGAAGACCAGATGAGAAGGATTCAGTCCAGGAGGGTCCCAGGATGCTCCCACTGCTCCCCACGGTCCTGTAACGCGCCGGGGCCATCCCCCACAAGCACCCTCCTAAAGCACTGGCACCGCACGCACCCGAAACCGTGAGAAACCATGAAAGAAACTTTCCCAACCCTAGTGCTGACGGAGCGGAGTCGCAAAACCCAACCTGCAACCTCCTGGCAGGCTTAAAGCCCTGAAGGCGAGCAAAATAACCCCCAAATGTACTCTTTTTACACGCTGCATTTGCAAGGCAGGCATGGGGTTTCTGAACACCCCCGCTAAGGGAAGCAGCTTTGCTTTCTGCTGCGTAGTGACCCCCTGTCCCATGCAGGAGCCCCGAGGGAGATGGGGCAGGACGGCCCAGCCTTCCACCACGTATCGCTCAAAGGATGCGGGCAGGATGGAGGGAGTCCCTGAAACACCCCGCTTCCACCCGGGCACACCCCAAACCCTCACAAGAGCGGAGGATGGCGATGACAGCACAAGGAGGAGGAGGAGGAGGGACAGTGAGTGCTGAAGGCTGGCTCTGGGAGCAGGGAGCACAGGCAGACGGCGGTGTTGGATGTCAGGCAGTGGCACGGAGTTACTGGGAGCTATTCAGCCAGAAAAGCTCGTCGGCGTTAATGACTTCCGATGGGAGGAAGCGAAGGGCCGGGGTTTATCGGCAGCGGGAGGCTCAGCGGGGGCAGCAAGCCTCTCCCATGGGATGAGCCAAAGGAGCCCAGCTCAGCCGAAAGGTCTCTCCACAGCCCGCCTGGCATCCCAGCAGGCATTTTTGGAAGGGGTACCGGCTCACTCAGCTGCTGGCAGCTGCTAAGGGCCAGCCCAGACCCCCAGCATATCGCAACCAGAAGCTCCCTAACTCGGTATCGGAGTCCCACAGGGTGGCCAGGCGAGCACCAGACGGGAGGGAACTCGGGGAATTGGGCTGCATCTGCCGCCAACAGCGCCAGGAGGAATCTGAAAGCGGATTTCAATAGCCCAGCTCCAAGCCCTCGCAAAAATCCCCTTTAAGCATCGCGAGCCGTCCTGGCACGGCGGTGTGTCACGGTCAACCAGCTGCAGCTCAGCAGCCGTACCGGTGCCCCCATCTCTGCAACTGCTGGGGGCAAGGGACTAGCACGGAGCAAAGGAGATAGGGCATTAGACACCCCCCTGCCTCAGATTCCCACCTCCCAGCCAACAGCCGGCAGGAGGTTTTCCTGGGAGCTGTACCTACGGGACGCCTTTATTCCCACAGCTTCATCTCCAACAGCCTCCACTTTGCCCAAACAAAAGTGACTCTTTCGTGGCCTGAATTTCTAACAATTTCTCCTCTATTGAAGAGGGATGGGAAAATAAACGGGGCAACACAGAAACCATCTTCAGCCTTAACACACACACACTTGTATGTATATAGAAATACATCCTATCCATAAGCTAAGATGGGGAACCTCGCTGGCCGTACCCCTGCTTCGCCAGTGAGTCCCCTGAGGCCCCCAGCTGTCCAAAAGCTAGGGCTGGGCTGGAGATGCAAACCCAAAATAACAGCAGAGATGCTCCTTCCCCAGCACAAGCAGGACAGTATGGGGATGGGGGCAAGCACCAGGCACACTCCCACTGCCCTCAGACAGAGACTAGAGCCGACACTACAGCTTGAGATGACAAAGATGCCCCAAGATGATGGGAAGGATGCCCCGAGGGGCACAGCGGCAGCAGGGAGAGGATATAAAGCGTGGGTCAGGTCCGCTTCCTCAACATCTAACCCATCACACTTCATGCAATCCCATTTCCAGCATCCATCATGAGAGATGCCGGGTTTTTTTGCAAGGGGGAAGACCCACGAGAACAAGCACTGGCTTTGCAGCACAGCTCAGCCATGAATTCCAGCTCTTCCCTGCTTTCTCCACGAGCACAACAAACTCCCAGACTTACCAGTGCTGACATTCAACAGCAGGCGAGCCGGCAGTCACCGAGCTGAGCAGCAACACCAGCTGTAGCTCTTCCCCCCCTTGCATGCTCCACTGGGTCTCATCATCATTTCTGGCCCCGACCCTACCTGGATTTATCCAGGAGTTGAGCCGAGCGTAGCAGGGCTCACCCCACGCGCTGAAAATGAAGCCCGTGACCCAGAGCTGCGGCAAGAAGCCCCGTTTCTGCGAGCGACAGCAGCGCTCTGAGCGAAATTGTCCGCGGCTGGGCGTTCCGAACAATGCCGGTCTTTGGAGCGCTGGCGTCATTGAAGTCGCTGCTTCCCTGCGCCAGGGCAGGGTGGTGACAAAGCCACCGCCGCAGGAATAGGGGGGCTCTTCAAGCCCTCCTCCCGTGGGCTGTGCAGGCAGCAAACCCACCCTCCTCCTTCAGCCCGGGGTGGGTGAAATAAGTTCTGTGAGAATTGCAGCTGGGCTGAAAACCACCGAGGAAAATCGGTTTGGGTCCTCTGGTCGCTCTGGGATAGGCTGGGGAGGGAACAGTGGAGATCCTACAGAACAGGAGATGTCCGAATGCTGGCAGGGAAAGGAGAGGGGTGAATTCCCCCTGGCTTGATGTCAGTAACAGGGGAGAGCAGACCTGATGGTCCTGAGGATGACGAAGAGGTGGCAGGAAGGGCATGTCCCAGCCCCAATCAGCACTTATTCATGAAAAGACAGAAACTTCCACTATTTGGCTTCCCAGCCATCAAGGGCAGCACCAAGGGCAGCCTTCCCCCACCCCAGTCTGATGATCCAAACCTGGAGCTGTTATTGCAAATATCCTTTCATCTTCTCCATCCAATACTCCTGCACAAACCAAACACCTCAGAGCCCTCTCCCGGGATGCCGGCTGGGGGAGCCCAGCCATGGCTCTCGCTGCAAACCAAACCTCCCTGCCAGAGCAGGGTCTTCCAAAACCCTGTTTGCTGGAAGCTTTGCCCCCTCCATGACGCAGGGGAAATGCAAATCACAGGCACCTGGGGGGACACAGGGCATGAACACCCCCCAATCCTTGAGGGTTTGTTACCCTGGAGGGAGCGGCGCTGATAAGGGGAGGTGTGGTGGAGGAGAAAGCCTGGGAGCGCTGCATTTCCCGAGCACCAGCGCAGGCTGCGGGCCGGACTCCTCCAGCTCCTGGTGAGCATTCCCTGCGAGGGGCACGGGCGTTTTGGGAACCCAAGGTCTCCGTACCAACCCTCCTAAACCTCTCTGTGGAAACGAAAGATATTTTTTTAAAAAAAAACCAACCCCACAACCAGCCAGAAACCTGACCAGCTGGGCCCTTTCGCCTTCGCAGCGCAGCCCCCACGGCCAGCAAAGTGGCCGATGCGAC